GAGGGAGTAATACCATTAGTGAAATGATAAACTAATTAATGAGAAACAAATATTTTCCTATCCCCCATTGGTCAAATCACTAATTATTACTCTACCTGTCCTTTTTATAAGAAATAATATCTGTTATAGTGATATTTCTAAATACAAAAAATAAATCTCTTTTTCGTTTAACATTTTAAACTTGTTTTTCTACTTTTACCGCCATTAACTACATCATATCCCCGGTAATGAAATTTACTTATTATCTTTCATGTACTCTTTTTATAAACAAGAGCACAATTGAAAAAATATATATCTTATACTCCCACTGGTCCAGAATATAAAAAATTGATTAGAAAAAAAAAAAGTGGTGGTCCAAAATATAAGAGGTGTTATGATAATTAATATGTTTTTTTTTTCATTTTTGCCCTTATTAAATATAGGAGAGAGATGAGAGAGAGAGAGGTGATAGATATAAAATATAATATTAAATGCAAATTTATCATTTTTTTAAGGGTAAAATACGAGAATTCTTATTTTAGGATAAATTTAATGACTAAACTTCTATTTCTTGGTTTGTGAGAAAAATTAACCAACTTCTTATATTATGAAGCGGAGATAGTATATTTATTACTTTTAATTAGATTTAACTAACATTTTGAGCTACATAATTTTGATAATTGTTGTGTTGGAGGGAGTAATTTCGAAGCAACATCTCACTGGAATGTAAACTAATTTTTTCCAACCATTAAAATATAAGGACCTATTTAGAATAATTCATAAATAGTTTTTTGATTATGATTTACAGAATGGGCTAAGTATGTAAGAAAAATTGTCTTGAATTATGTAAACCATGCTTTTAAGTTTTTGAATGCTATTCTATACATTCCTATTGGCATTGATAGTTAACAATACCACATTCCTACTAACGGAGTTAGGTCTAGTAAAAAAAGCTAGTCCCTCATAAGGTGATAAATCAAGATTTAAATTTTTATTAAGAGAGGTGTTTATATTTAGTACATGATAGTGCATCAAATAGAATTGTCTCTAATTAAAAAAAATACATGTACTCTGAAAAAAACAATACCACAATTCTAGAATGGTTACTTTAAATGGGGGCCTTTTACTGTTGCTAGCATGTAATGTGGGCTTTTTAAGTTGTTTATGAATCCGATACGACTAGCCCAATGAGTGGGCACTTGCTCAACATTAGCTGCTTTTTTGTGACAAAAATATTTTCCTCTAATTCTATTCTTTATAAATCAAGTTTCTTAATTTATACGAGTACTATTTAAAAGCAATATTTTATCTTAGTTTAATTTAATTTCCAAACAAATGTTATTAAAAATGAAATCATATATATTTCTTAAAGGGCCTAACTTCAAAAAATAACATTTTACTACCTTTGATCCTAAATATAAGAACCTTCATAATATCACTAATAATTTTTTTTGTACAGTCATTTGATATTCAATGCTGTTTGATTATATTTTAGTATTTTTTTTTGGAGCTGAATAGCATTGTTAGGTTTAGTTAAAAAATAGCTTTTATGAAGAAATCATTTTGATGGAAATTGTTTTACCAGAATTTAATTGGAATTTAATCTTTGAGAATTAAATTAAGACATGATGTGAGCCTAAAGTTTTTTTTAAAAAAAGTTTGACCAGAAAATGTTCTAATACTCTTATATATAAACTCAAAATAATTAGCCATCTCAATAATTCTCGTATAAAATAGAAACTCCGCGCAACTATTAGTATTTTCCTCATAATTCTTCGTTGGATCTCAGTGCAGGTCGGCTGCGACTCTCCAAGCAACCTCAAAAGCACGCGACCCTTCCACACTTATCGCGCCACGTGTCACTCTCTCCCTTCTTCAGCCCAAATCAGAAACAACATACGAAGCCGCCTTTCCCTGACTTTCATGATCCAAACCCCAAAACCCATAACCAACGAATCCTACGTTGACGCGTGTCACCCTCGTCCCCTTCCTATAAATTTTCGAACCCCCACGTCCTCATCTCAAGCACAAAGCAACAAACAGATAAGATCCCAGTGCCAAACCCAAAAGCCTGCGTTACCCTTTTCGATTTTCGTCTTCTTCCTCTTGAAAGTTTCGATCTTTCTTTTTTTTTTGGTCTTCTTTCTCATGATCCGAGAACTGAATGAGTCCAATCGCCGGATTCTGACCTTCCCGGCGGTTCATCCTTGTGAAGATATTTCTTTTCCCACACTTGTCACTTCTTTATTCACTATCTCTCGTAGGATTTGCAGTTTCAAATCCAAAGTTTTCTCCAGTAACAAGAAAAATGCCAGGAAAGCCATTCGTATGATAGAGGTTCTTCAGATTTTTCTGGAAGAGATCCGAGACCAGCAATGGAGTTTTCCGGATTCCGTAATCCTGAGCTTGTCGGAGCTCCATTTGACTTTCCAGAAGCTTCACTACCTCCTTCAAGACTGCACTCGTGAAGGCTCTCGGCTATATCTGCTCATGGAGTCGGATCGGGTCGCGACCCAGTTTCAGGTCCTATCTAGATCCGTAGTCACGGCTCTGGATATCTTCCCTTTCAGTTCCACAGAAATCTCAGCAGAACTTCAAGAGCAGGTTGAGTTTATGCTGAAGCAAGCTCGAAAGGGCGACTTTGAAGTGGAGCCAGAAGACAAACGGGCAATGATGAGCGTTCTATCAATTTTGAATCAATTTGAGAACTCGATCGCCCCAAGTGAGGGTGATCTCAGATGGATTCTTGATCATATTGGGGTTCGAAGATGGAATGAGTGTAACAAAGAAATGAAGTTTTTGGATACAGAAATTGGGTATGAGCGAATGAAGGAAGAGAAAAGAAAGCTAGCTTTTTTGTGTAGTTTAATGGGGTTCCTGAGTTACTGCAGATGCGTAGTGATCGAGGTTGTCGATAATGGAGAAGATGACCCAAAATCTGATGGTAGCAAAGGAAGTGAGATTCTGAGTTGGTGCTTCAACCCAGATGATTTTCGATGTCCAATCTCTCTAGAAATCATGAATGATCCAGTGACAATAGAGACGGGTCATACTTATGATCGATCTTCGATTCTCAAATGGTTCAGCAGTGGAAGCCTCATATGCCCCAAGACAGGGAGAAACCTTGACAGCATCGAACTGGTCCCTAATTTGGTACTTCACAGGTTGATTCATCAATACTGTTCTAATAACGGCGTTCCCATGGCTGATCTGGGTCGGAGGAATCGTGATCGCGATATCAAGACAACTTGTCAACCTGGAAGTTTGGCAGCTCAAGAAGCCATGAAAATGCTGGCAAGTTTTCTCAATGACAAGCTTCAAAACAACGCGGAGTTTGAGAGAAACAGGGCTGCTTATGAGATTCGTGTTCTTGCCAAAAGAAACATCTTCAATAGGTTTGTTTTGTGGAATCTGATACAATACCGCATCTGTTAACGTTATTGTCGTCAAGAATCCAACGACACAAGAAAACGCCATTGCAGCTCTTCTGAACCTCTCGAAACACCCTAAAAGCAGAATTATTATGGTTCTTGATGGGGGTTTGGAGTTGATTGTGATTGTTTGTAAGAAAGGAATGAAGTTAGAATCTCGCCATCATGCTGCTGCAACATTATACTACCTTGCTTCAGATGAGGAGAATCGAAGATTGATAGGGGAGGAGCCAGAGGCAATCCCATCTTTGATCAATCTACTCAAAGATGGCTCTGATAGAAGCAAAAAGAATGGCTTGGTTGCTATATATGGTCTCCTTTTTCACTCTGAAAATCACAAGAGAGTGCTTGAAGCTAAGGCAATCCCATTGCTAGTTAGCATCTTAAAAACCTGTGAAAGAGAAGAGTTAGTCACAGATTCATTAGCAGTACTGGCAAGTCTAGCAGAGAAAAGTGCTGGAGCAATGGCAATCCTTGAAAATGGAGCTTTGCATCCAACTATTGAGACTTGAATTCTTCTTCAACTTCAAGAGTTGGGAAGGAGCAAGGAGTGTCTTTATTGCTTTCTCTAGCAGTAACTGGAGGGGCAAATGTGGTTGCTCTTCTAGTGAAAAGCCCTTCTCTAATGGGATCCTTATATTCCTTACTCAGTGAAGGCACATCTAGAGCAAGCAAGAAGGCCAGTACTCTCATCAGGGTCCTCCATGATTTCTGTGAAAGGAGACCCTCAGGATTCAAAGCTTCAGTTCTTCCACAAGAACAATCTATTCACGTTTGGTAATAACCCAGTTTGCTCTTTTTTTTTTTATCTGCACTGGGTATTGTAGATACAAATTGTAAAGAAGGTGCGTGCTTCTGATACATGATATGAGCTCGTGTTTTGAAGAGCTAGTATCTGTATCAGCATAAGCTTCTGTTTTAGTTATGAAGCTTGCATAGAGAGAATTACAATTCATTCGTTTATCAAATAAGACTGTACTGTGTCTTGAATGTAATTTACAAATCCAATTTATGATAATAAGATTGAGATTCTTTCTCTTTTCTTGTCTCCACAAAATTATTCATTCTTACTTTACACTGAAAGATGTGAATGATTTAGCTTGTGATGTGATTTCCAGAGCCTTCTCTAGGCTGCTTAATACATGCTCCATAGATGGCCGTTGCTGCTTGAGCCCTGTGCATGACACGCCAGCTTTAGTGTGAGGCTAAATGCTTCTGCAGAATACTCCCCTCTGAGTTTAGGATCAGCAAACTCTGATAAATTCCCACCCCAGCAAAATTCTGGCCTAAATCACAAAGTCACGTAAAAACAAGAGCTTTTAGAGCTGTTCCACTTTAATATCCCATGGTCAACTTTTGACAGGTCTATTAATCATTATACTAACTTTGCTTCTAGTTATAAAACTTCATTTATAGTCTATAAACGAGGTCTTATAATTAGGATCGGAAGTAATACCTAAATGGGATAGGATGCATCTAACATTTAAAGTGTTTTTTGGTAGTACTTTGTATTCTAAACTAATTTGTAATTTACCCAACGCTCTAAATTACTCTTCAGTAGCAGTCAGTATCTTAAAGTATTTTTGGTACAAATTTGCCCTTAAAATATTTTCTTAATAGTAATGACTAATGAGCACTGTACACTTAGGATACTGATTGCCACTTCAGGCCCAAAAAAAAAAAAAATGCTGCTGAAAAATATTTTAAAAAAAATACAAACAAGAATCTAGAATAGATAATATTTATTAGGAAGGATCATAAAAATTGCAATTATTTGAAAAGACCAAATATTAACATATAAATTTAAAAATACTAAATTGCCCCTAACTATACTTCCCACGTTACCTCCTACATTCTGTTTGTAAACAACTAAAAATTTCTAAACTTCACTAAATTAAATAGAATTTCTCTCAAATTTTACAACTTGCGTAAATATTTATTATACAAAAATACACAAACATTATTCATTTATAAAATTAGAATTTTTTTGAGTACATTAGAATTTTACTTTTAGAATCAACACAAACTTAGATTGAAAATAAATGTTGTATAATTTTGGAAGAAGTTTATGTAAATTTTAAAAACAAAATACATATTGTTAATAAAATTAAAAAAAATCCAAATAATCTATATATTTTCATGTGATATTGGTAAATAGGATTACCTCCGTTAGAATTTTAAAAGCACTTGCGTGTAAGCCAAAACAATATTGCAAATAAAAATATCAGTATAGTCTGGGTGGAAAAAGCTTAAATTAACAAAGAATACGTATGGTCATAGCCATAGGAATGATGACTGGTTTGGTTTTAGTTCTTGTTTTTTTTTTTTTTTAAATTATAAAGGCAGGAGTTAATTTAGGAGGTTTTGGCAGGGATAATTTAATATTTTTAGATTTACATTTTAATATTTGGTCATTCTAAATAATTATGATTTTTACCATCTCTTCCAATAAATACTTTTATTCTAGGTCATTCCCCTTAATTTTGATAAAATACTTTAAGATATTGAGTGTTACCAAAAAAATATTTTAGAATGTTAAATTAAATCACAAATTATTTTTGAATACTGAATGCCACAGGAAAAATGTATCAAGGTGTTGGATGTATCTTAATCCTACTTAAAAACCTATCCACTTATAGTGTGTGTGTGTTTTACTCATGATCATTAGGCTCTCACCATTTTATCTAGGGACATTGGTCTCCGGAAATTGAAGTCAATGACCTTCTGTCCTGAAAGAAGTTGCAGCAATACGATTCCAAAACTGTAGACATCTCCGGAGGCTTTTACATGGCGGTTTTTCCGGTATTCAGGATCAATGTAACCTAATGTTCCTCTCACCTCAGAGCTCACAAACGATTGGTCGAGCTCCATTACCTTGGACAATCCAAAGTCTGAAAGCTTTGCTTGCATGTTGGTGTCAATTAGAATGTTTGATGGCTGACAATACAACATGTCACAGGAGATCAAAGACACAGAGAAATAGACTAATGGAGAGCCAGAGACAAAGCATAGTACAGTGTTGTCACCTTAATGTCACGATGAATGATGCTGCCACCTGGATAAGTGTGGAGAAACATTAGACCTCTTGCACAATCAACTGCAATCTTAAGTCTCTGAATCCATGAAAGAACTTTATCCTTGTCTGTCATACAGTGGTAATGTGTTAAGAGAATTTACATGGAAAGAGGGTTAGAAGAATCCAGCAAAAAAATACTACCTTCAGTCTTTAATATAAGAGCTAACTTGAAATTTAACTTGGTTCTAAATATAATATCCCAATTCACTTTGTCTATCATATTTATCCTTTTTTTTTTCAAGTAGTCATTATAGTGGTTGTATATGTTAAAAGTTCAATTAAATGGTAGTTCTAATTAATACACACAATTAGCAAAGGTATTTTAGGGAAGATAACATATATTTATTACAAATAACTAACTTAACAAACTTTCTTAATCTAATCAAATTAGTCAACTAGCTCTTATATTAAAGGCCAGAGGTAGTAAATAAGGAAAGAGGGTTAGAAGAAGAATCCCCATGGATGACTAAGAAAACAAGTGATACCAAATAGCCAATCTGAGAGGTTTCCTTCGTGGCATAGCTCATACACTAGGAAGCATTCACCTTCACTGTCACAGTATCCGACCAAAGATACCAAGTTCTGATGTCTGACATGAGAAAGGCTTCTCACTTCTCTAACAAATGTGTCCAGGTACGCTTCACCCATAATATGCTTGATGGCCACATGCTGACCGTTGGAAAGTATACCTTTGTACACTTTTCCTGTAATAACTCCAAACAAGTTCAATTCATTTGGAAGGTTCTATATAATTGCTTTATTTCATTTGGATTTCCTTGATCATTTCACAATTATTGAGATAATCAATAATATCAACATAGGTTCTCATTTTCTACAAACCTGCCATTATTGCAAGCAGAAAATGGTGTAGATAGGATCTTGGCTGTAGCAGATGCTAACAAGGTTTAATGTAACCCTAAGTCCTATTGCTTGTAATATGAGTTTATATGTGCTATCTTGTAGCCTTTGTCTCAGTCATCTCTTTTGGTTTTTTGTTGTTTTGAGGCATTAAATTGTTATAAACAGATATCAGAAAACACATTTTTCAAGAAGCTGAGGGATATTCTTACCAGCTATGCCTTGACCAATGTAATTTGAAGGATTAAGATTGTTGGTCGCCATATAAACTTCCTTGATGGTTATCATAAGAGAGCTTGAATCCTCTGCCTCTAAATAATTAAATGCATTCAAGTAAGACAAAAATACACACAGATTTTTCTGGACAAGAAAGGAAATTGTGTAGGATCTTTTTCTGAGTCACCTTCTTGTTTCGTTGGAGAACTAATAGTTCTTCTTCTTCTATTCAAGATACATACTGCAAGAAACCCTAGGACTACGATTCCAATTATGCCAAAAGGTAATATCCAGAGACCTGTTCCATTTATGATTCAAACAGTTAAAATTGGACAAGAAAAACCTTAATCGATTCCTATCCTCAGAACAAGAATATAATGCAGGACTAAGATGTGCAGAGAATTGGAAAAGAACTACCTGGGATGAGCTTAGAACTGCCATCAGTTTTGCCTATTTGCTTACCTGTAACAGTCAGTGAATTACTTCAAGTTCAACAAGATCAAATAAAAATCACGAATTCAAATAAGTGAGATTGAATTGACTGAAAAAAGGGAAATTTACTTTTTTCTTGACCTCACCTGCTGAAAGGCTGTAGGTTCCAAGGCATTCATAAACTGCTTGAATCGAGTCCCTATCATAAAGTCTGATGCTTGTAAGTGAGATTAGTACTGCAAATCTACAAAGATTAGCATCAAAATCTGCTGAGCCTGACTCCTTTTTACCAATTGATATTGCACTAATCTCCTCCCACCTTCTTAAGCATGCCGTACAAGTCTCTTTTTCTCTACCAGCCTTGGTCAAAGCCATACAATCTTCATCTAATCTTCTCAACTTCTCTCCAAGTTTGTCCATAACATCGATGACAGACAAGTCAGAGCAAACACCAGCTCCAGTCCTTAGCTTCTCCACTCCACATCCTTTAATATTCATTGAGGCAAGGCAAGTTTCTTGCTCCGAGGAATTCAAGTATATTTTTCCAGATTGGTTGGCATACATCCCTGATGCATAAAGGTAAGCATTGAAATCTAATCCATCACAACAGCTATTTATAAAACCTCCCCAGCTGTGCAATTCACAATCAGAGCTATTATTATTATTCAAAGATGTAGAAGACTGAATTCCAAGGATGCAATCAGCAGCAGAGGTTTGAGAACAGGCTCGATCAAGAGTGATGAACAATAGAAGCAATATGAAGCAGTTTTTCCCTTGAAACTTCATTGTATCAGAGCCGGAAAAGCAACAATAATGTGAGACCAGATACAGCTGCAGGCGTTTTAATGTTGAAAGTGGTTGATATAAGCACGTTGATGTGGTCAACATGTCACTATCATACCACTTTTTGATGAGTCCAATATGTAAATATGACCACACTGGATTTGGACTTGAAGAGGCATTTTGGCAAATGGCTGAAGAGCAATTATATGCTACCTCCGATCCTTAATATAAAAATTAGTTTGACTTTTAATTTAGTCCTAAATATAATAACGTAATCCACTGTCTCTCATATTTATTATTTTTCAAGATAGTCTTTGTAATTGTTGCACATATTAAAAGTTCCATCAAATGTTAAAACTAATATACTTGATTAATAAAGGTATTTTAGAAAAAATGGCAACTACTTATTATAAATAACTAATTTAACAAACTTCCGTAATCTACTCAAATTAGTTAATTAGCTTTTATATTAAAGACCAAGGTAGTACTATACATCTCTCTCTTTCTCTCTCTACCTATCTAGTTGTTTTATCCTTATAGGCAAACTAAAATATTGTTCCTAGTTCAACCCTGCCGCTTTGAATGAGAGTGACTTATAATAACCAATTCATACAATATTCCCTCTCAAGTAAGGACAAATGCCGGATTGTAGTCTCTGACTCAGAATAAAAT